TTTTTTAAATTACTTATGAGAAGTTATAAGTATTAACATTTTTAAAATTACATTCTAACAAATTAACATAAAAGATCGTATCGTCTGGAATCTAACAAAATTGACGGTATTAAATTTGAAATCTCCTATAATTTATTATTAATTTTTAAATTCTTTCCTAAAACAGAAAAAAATGAGATTTTGATAGCATCAATGATGAAATTCGATGTACAATTTAAGGACCTCATGGTGAAGCGATAAGTCTTGATCGTTGTTTCGATTCAGATCACACACCACTGAATTTCAACTCTGACCTATTTTGCCTCTATTGTTTCTTTTTAGTCTTTTGTTGTGCTTTGAAGGCACGACAATCTACCAATTCCAAGTAATCTATTGTCAACTATTTTACGTCAGTCCTGCCTCTTGAAAAGAATTTGCCCTCGAGTAAATTAACTGTGGAAGTTCCATGGAATCAGAATGAAACTCAAACAAGTCTTGAACATTAAAAGTGCTAAAAATATCCATATTCGCAAGGAGATCAACAACATAAGTATTGTCATTGATATCTGAAAGGAACCAATCTTCTTATGGTTGAGCTTGTTGTAAGTCCCACCTAGTAACCTTTCCTTGCACAAGTGAATAATAACCTTGTCCCCAACTTTGAAAATCTTATATCGACAATGTTTATATCCTATCTGCTTATACTTGGTTGTCGATGCCTCCAATTATTGTTTCACCTCTGCAAACATTTGTTAATTTCTCCACACATATTCAGCCACAATGTTCATTGTTGAAAGTTTTGGGACTTATCCGTGGATCTGTTTGGCATATTGTTGTAAGAAAACTTTGCTTGTGATAAAGTATTATCCTACTGCCTCGGATATTTCTTGTAAAGTCTGCACAAAATGTTCCCAATGTCTACTCACCTCTCTCTGTTTGTCCATCAGTCTGGGGATGGCTCGAGTTGCTGTACTATAACGAAGTATCCAAACACTAAGTCTGCCAAAAATGACTAAGGAACTTGTCATCATGGTCAGAAGTAATGGTCTTGGGGATACCATGCAAATGAACAATCCCTCGAATTATCTTGGGCATACCATGCATCTAAGATTTTCCAACATGGAATAAAGTGTGTCATTTTGAAAAAACTCTCAACCACCACATGGATAGAATCTATACCACTTTGAGTCCGTAGAAATCCCAACACAAAGTCCTTGGAGAGATACTCCCAAGATGTGTCTGGAATGGATGAAGGAGGGTAGAGTCCGTTATTTTGTGCATGTCCCTTAGTAGTCTAGCACATGTAGCATTGCTTAACAAACTTCTACATATCTCTCTTTAGCTGAGGCCAGAAATAACGCTCTTCAAAGCAATACTCTTATCTCTGCCCATGTGTCCCCCTAAGCCACCACTGTGAAGTTCCTAAATGATATGTTCACATTGGGATTCTTGGGGAATGAAAGTTGGGTGGCTTTGAACAATAATTCCTCAAGGATATGAAAATCCCTTAAGATTCCAAGTGTCAACGAGCACTGGACCAAAACCTGCTGGAAGTCCTCACCCTTTGCATAAAACTCCTTCAAATAATCAAAGACAATCACCTCACTACGCACAGTGGTCAGCAACATAGTACATTGACTCAATGCATCGGCCACCTTATTCAACTATCTTGACTTATACTTTAGACTGAAAGTGAGGGGTCGTTCGGTAACGTTTTTGTTTTCGCGTCTTCAAAAAATTAAAAACAGAGATAATTTTTGTCTTTGTTTTGTGATAAATATTGAAACAGAAAACATGTTTGAAATTCATTTTTGTCTATCAAATTATGAGAATAAAAATAAAAAATATGTTTGGTAATTACTTTAAATTTTATCTTAAATATGTTTGGTATCTATTTGAAAATTCAATCTCAAATGACAATTCAACAATCCCAAATAGTAATCCCAAATAGAACACAATACACACACAACACAACACACACATGCACATATCGTGCATATATATGCACAAATCTTCTAAGTTTTTATGGTGGTCAGATACAGCGATGGAGGCTGAGGCGTTTATGAAGGTTTGATACATCGCTGGAGGCGGAGATGTTTATGGTGGTCTGATATAGCGATGGTGGCGCAGGCGACAATGGAGGTGGGTAACAGGCCAGTGATTCAGAGAAAGGAGAGAGGATACAGAGAAAGGAGAGAGGAGGGAGAGAGGAGAAACGAGAAATGAGGAAGAGAGGAGAGAGCTAGTGGTCTGAATCGTCTAATACAGAGAAAGGAGAGAGGAGGGAGAGAAAAGAGAGACAGAGAGAGAAGCTATGGGAGGAGAGAGGGATGAAATGAGTTTTTATACTCCAACAAAAAAAACATTGTTATGCTATTAAGAGGAGTCGAAGTACGGATCTCATTAATTCCCCACCCATTTTGCGCGTGTTGTCTCCGTTTTTTGTGTTTCTTGAAACATTTTTTTTCCCATTTTTTTGTTTTTGTTTCCAAACAATTAATAGAAAACAAAAACAAAAATAGTATCCAAACATATTTTTGTTTTCATTTTTGACAAAAATTGAAAATAAAAACACAAAATACAAAACAAAGACAGTTATCAAACAATCTCTGAATTTTTGAATTTCTACCACCCACCACACATGCATACGATTAGGAGTAGTAGAACTGTTAAGGTACTTCAATGTTTGATGGTAGGTATTCAGGATGAACTCTCTCTAAATCAGATAATGCTGCTAGTATTGTAAAGCTCGAACAACTACATAGAACTCCTGAACTCCTGCTCATAGGTAGATCATTTATGCTTCGCTTCACTAAGCTTCTCACTAAAAAAGGCTACTAGTTTACCCTTTTGAAACAAAACTACTTCAATGCTAGTGCAAGAAACATCATAATCTATATCAATTAACTTCTCAAAGCTAGGTAGTATCAACACGGGAGTTGTGGTTAGCTTTTCCTAGAGTAGTTAAAAACTCCTTGTTGCCTTATTGCTCCATTGCAACTGCATTTGCTTTATGCAATCAGTAAATGGTGTTGTATTAGAGTTGAAATTCCTCACAAACCTCCGATAAAAGGTTGGAAGGCCATGAAAGCTACGAACTTCATTGACAATTTGGGGTGTGAGCCAATCCTAAATAGCCCAAATCTTCTCTCCTTCCATTGAAATCCCCGTAGCACTGACTGCATAGCCTAAGAATGCCAGACTATCAATCATAAAGTTGCACTTCTTGAATTTATCAAACACCCTGTTCTCCTACAAAAATAGGCATCAAATGTTGTAAATAGTCAATTTTATTGTTTCTGTAAATCAAAATATCATCAAAGTAAATAACCTCAAACTTCCGAATAAAGGGTTTGACTACCCTGGTTCATGACCCTCATAAAAGTATTGGGGGCATTAAACAATCCGAAGGGCATAACTAACCACTTATACAAGTCTTCCTTCGCCTTAAAAGCACTCTTCCACTTATCACCCGGTCAAATGTAAATATGATGATACACTTCAAATTAACCTTGGAGTACATGTTGATCAAGGGCGGATCTGCCTTATAGCTTGAGGGGCCATTTGCCCCCACTCACCTCTCAACAATCCACATGTATGTTATATAAAAAATCATAACTTTTTTAATGCAATGTAATGCCCCCTTGATTTTTAAGAAGTTGGTTCATATATTTGATTTTCTGGTAAGTTAGTAGTTCATTATTGTCCCCTTAAGCAATCAAAAAAATATTTTATTCTTAGATTTTGTGAAATAAAAGGAAAATTCTCCAACCATATATGTTCATCAAATGTAATACATCTCTTTGTTTAATACACTTTTTTGATTGGTTAAAATAATCGTATAGTTTCCCTTGACTTCTTTTTTTTTTTTGTGTAGTAGATTAACGGCTTGTAATAAAGTAAAACATGAATAAATGCAAATTATACAATTTTATAATGCAAGCCGAAGGAGTGTTTTTTGATTTTTCAAAGAATAAAATTTCTCAACAAGATGTAAGATGATTTCAATAAGACTTTGTAAGAAAATTAGTGATTACTTTGTGATGAACTCTTTTACGAAAATTACTAAGAAACTTAGCATATATAGAATCAATTATAGACAATTATTGAGATTTTAATGAAAAAAAAAATAGATTTTAATAAATTTTATGTTTTCCTTTGATATACTTTTGATATAGATTTTATTTGTCAGAGGAATTTAATCATAAATTATATTATATTCCTCATGCTTAAATTTAATTTTTTTTTTTTTTTGTATTTGTTGGGTTTTATTTAATTTTTATTTTGCCCCCACTAACAAATGATCCTGGCTCCACTCTTGACCTTGACACCCTCCAACATATCTAACGTATCTCACAATAATTTTAACCTTCTTACGAGTGAGTGGAGTAAGAATAGTATTGGGGCTCAAATTTTTTGGGACTCATCCGATAATGGGGCAAGATTGACAAGATAGACTCAAGCCCCAAGTCAAAATGATATTGGACGTCCCTCAAAAGGTGTAAACCATACAATAACTATTCCATGATTTCCTAAAACTCATCTAGTATTGCCTTGTGCTTTTTACTCATTCAGGTGGTATAAATAAGGAACTTGTTGTTGCAAAGAAGAAGGCCATTGACTTTTTCTTACAAGACTTTTGACTTCAAAAATCTAGATTTCTTGTAAACCACTTTTGAATGTGGCTTAATATTTATAATTATCTGCAGATTGCTGATAGACGTGATCAAGAGAAAAAGGCTTACTCAAGAATGTTCCAGTAAAGTTCAGGTTGTAATCCTGAATGCAGGCTGCTTGCTGCATGAGCACTTGCTAGCTTATACAGTAATTGGTGAAGCTTTTTAGTTTAGTATCAAGCACTAGATATTTTTGGGCCTCCTTTTCCCCTATTATTGGGTGTTTAGTGTTACACTTTTGTACTTACAGATACACCTCTATCTACTCTCTCCCGTCTTTCAACTTGTATCATCCTTCCACCGCTCCAAGAATTAGCAACTAAGCTAATTGACCTTTGGAATTTGATGGACTCTCCCCAAGTGGAGTGGAGCTTGTTCAATCATGTGACTTGTAACATATCGTCTTCAGTGGATGAAGTGACAATCCTTGGAGCTCTTGCTATGGATCTTATTGAACAAGTACTTGGAGTTCTCTACAATGTACAATCTAAGTCGAATAGACAATGAAAGCCTTTTTATTCATTACTTATTTTTGTTGTCAAGGCTGAAGTGAAAGTTGAAAGGCTTGATCAGCTTAAGGCTAGCAGGATGAAGGAAATTGCTTCTAAGAATCAAGTTGAACTCGAAGAGATTTTTGCTCAAGCACATAAAGAAATTGATTCAGATTCTGCTCGAAAAAAAATAATGGCACTGATTGATTCTGGGAATGTTGAGCCGTCTGAATTACTGGCTGACAGAAGAGAGTTGGCTTGAAGATTACAACAGGGTATTTACTCTCTCCCTCTCTCACACGCGCGCGCGCGGGTGTTTCTGGTAATGCATGCTGTGTTTAGGCATCTTATTCTTATCTCTATTTCTACAACATGTACCCCAGCCCGCATGCTTAACAGTCAAAATTATAATTTTGGGCTTTAGAATTGCTTTTTTTTTTTTGGTTAATTGCACTGAAAGTTTGCAAAGTATGTTGTTTGTTTCATTTTAGTCTCTAATATTTGAAGTGCACCATTTTAGTTTCTGAAGTATTAAATATGTTTTTATGTGGTCTTTCAAGCAGACAACGTTCAAGTTGCTAATAATTTTTTATTATAAACTTGTCACGTAATACTTAAATATGAGCAAAAAAATAAATTGGATAACTCATGATCAAGTTTTTACCCAAATTTTAGTCAAAGAGTTATCAAAATTTTCACAATTTTGATCATGAATTATCTAAATTTTTTGGTCAAGAGATACCTATATTATACATTTTTTGTGAAGAGTTACCTAAATTGTAATCAAAAGTTAGTCAAATTATTTTTTGTTTTATGATCAAATACCATTAGTAATTTGGATGTTATCTGTTTGAGGGACCACATAAAAACATGTTTAAAACTTTAGAGACAAAAATGATGCAATTAAAATATTGGAGATAAAAATCAGATAAACTCTATATTTTGGGTACTTCTAGTGCAATTAACCATTTTTTTTTAACTCTAAGAGTTTCAAATGACACTTTCATAAGTTAAAACGTCATTTGAAATAACAATTTGAAATTGATTTTTTTTTATTTAAATTATTGTTTGGAATAACGTTTATAAAGGCTACAGTAAAAATGACGTTAAAAAGTCAGATCCCAACTTTCCTAAATCATCATATCCACATTTTTTTGAAATCTAATTCTCATGACCTTCTTCCTCCTCCTCCTAAACACCCAATCACCGAGCTCAAAATCGACCCAATGAAGGGATCAAGGAAGGACGAACAGAGCAATGCACATAAGTAGCAGTAGAGGAGTTTTCAATTGGGCATTGAATTGCTGAAGGATACACAAAAGTGTAACTGATGCGTTTGACTGTTGCTTTCGCAACAAACTAAATGGACAAAGCCAGCTGTACAAATGGACTTTCCACCCTCTTTTTCTCTGATATGCTCTCTCTCTCTATTTCTCAACATCAACATCTCATCTAATCTCAAACCCTAAACTAAATCCAGCGTCCTCACCGCTCCGCATCTCCGACGAAGATTAGTCCGGTGTAGGCTTTTACCGCCGACTAAAACCACTCTGGCGCACGAGTTTACCTTCGATGAAGACCACTCCGGCGATGATATGCTGCTGCCTGCCGTGTATTATTTCAATCCTGGGTATTTGTCCCGATATGGTTGGAATGAGAGGAGCCAGTGATGAGTCTATCAATGCTCTGCCAACACACAACTTTAAGTTGAAGAGGAATGTAAGTGGCAGCAGTAGAGACAATGATTCAGAAGTTGGTGAAGGTGGGTTTGTAGCGGCAGGAACAGAAAAGGAGCGTGCCATCTCGGGGGAGGATGAGGTAAGTTTGTGGCCCTATTTAGGTTTTTTTTTTTTTTTTTTGTGAATGAAAAATCTTAGCACTGGAAAACACTTTTTTTTCCTTGCGGGGGTGGGTGTCTGAGTTCTGTGTACCTGAACTTTAAAGGAGGTGTTTCTAAATTTCCAATATCTACTGTGAGGCTGGCTGGGACAGCTTTTTGTATTTTCTTAAATTTACATCAATTTCTACTTGCATTGGTTTGTCTTGATCAACAACTAATGCTCTAAAGCTGGTGCAGGTTTGTTGCATTTTCTTGGCAAGATACACAGATAATGACGGGTTGAGGGAGCTTCCTTGCTCCCATTTTTTTCATACTGAGTGTTTAGATAAATGGCTAAAGATCAATGCATCATGTCCTCTCTACAAATTTGAAATTGGTGATAGCAATGTGAATTCATCATCCACAACAGACTCTAGTCAGCGAGTGTGAAGGAAATGAATAAAATGGAAGACAAAAGCAGTCAGACGTGATCAGTCGCTGCGATTACAAAGCTCTTCATATTGGAATAACATCTATTTGACTGATTCTGGCTCTAATTGGCCATCAAAATTCGGTTTGTACTGTCGAGTCAAATCGGTGTGTTCCCATTTCAGACTCTCATCTCAATGTTTTTTAATTCACTCTGTTCCTCAAATTTGAACACTTTTCCCACTTGAATGATTTTAGCTAGAATAGTGGTGTTCCTCATTGGTGACTGGTGATGAAGGATTATGGCAATGAGGGCAAAGAAAATGCTTTGTAGGTTGGAACAAAGATAGAAGAATTAGCAATGAAAACCAACGAATGGGTCAGATTGATAGATCCTAAATTGGAACAGCAAAAGCAAATTAAATTGAACTTCGATCGACCCGATCTGATATCATGAAGAAATTCATAACATGAGAAAGACTGGAAATAGTAAAATAAAAGAAAATAAAATAATGGTTCGAAATATTGCCTACATTCACATACCTTAATGTCCTATAGGCTACAGAGATATATTATTGAAGGTAATTGATTATATAAGACTCAATCCTATTTATAGGGTAAGGTACATATGATAAAGATAAATACATGCATGTCTATCATCATCTATGTTTATCCGTAGAGTTTAATATCGATAGGCCTATTTGAATCTTATCGTATATTTACTTAGATCAGATGAATCTCTTTATATCTGTCATATCTAATAGTTACGAGAGAGGGCAACCTTATTGAAAGACGATCAAGCAAAGGTAAAACATAAATTCAACTGACATCGCTGTTATTGTTGTTACTTATGAAATTCGAAGAGGGAACAAAGCCAAGGCAATAACGAAACTAACCACTACCCAAGTGTTCCCTACAAAGAGCACTTAGTGCGAAAGCTCCATTGAAGATTGATTGACAGATCAAATTAACATCAATGCAGTTGAAGCCAAACTCATCACTAGTAACAACCTTCCTCTCAACGTCACTCCGGCATTGCCACTGGTGCTTGCCTTCGAGTCGGAACTTGAACCAGTTTCTGGAGAAGAAGATGACAAGTTTGATGATCCAGGAGACGAAGTTGATGTAGAAGCAAAAGCTGGTGGTGAACATGTTGCTGTGCTTGTGCTTGAACCTGCGTCTGCTTCTTTGAAGATTTTTGCGTCTGGTGAATCTGGTGGGAATGGAGAGGATGGGTTAATCGATAGGTTTAGTTTAGATACTTAGGGCTTTTGTGAATTGGAAAAATGATTATAAGTCATAGAAAATATTATTTACAACGACGTTTTTTATCACCAATTTTTTTTTAACGTTTATTATGTTGCCCTTTTTAATTCACTCTTTTTAATGTCATTCTCACTAACGCCTTTTAAAAAGTCTTTCCAAATGACAATTTAAATAAAAAAAATTCAAATTTGAAATCGTCATTTCAAATGATGTTTTAACCCATGAAGACGTCATTTAGAATGACATTTTTAAAAAGAGACTGAATTTGAGAAATAAATTTAAAACAAGTTGAGTTTGAGAAATAAGTTTTTTTTTTTTTTGGGGGGGGGCTGGTTTTGGAGAAAAGCTCCGTATCAAAAAGCATATCGTTTTTTAAAAATAGTGTATCGTAAGATACGCACAATTTTGATTTTTAAATAATTATTTATAATATATATACTTTTGTAAAAAAGTTATATACTCATAATAACATAACATTTCATTAATATTCTATAAACTATTCATGTTCCCAACATAATTTAATAATATCAAAATGAAAAGACCTTTAATTCAAACTTCTAACATTAACTGTTTGAATAACCTTAATATTAATTAGGAATTTTGAATTCAATCGAATAACTTTAACAACATACTTTATTTAATTTTTTAAATCCATAACTATTGGAACGACGTTGTTTCGTGATTTAAAAATAAGTCATAAGTAAAACAATGTTATTTCAGCCTCAAAAATTAAAAATAAAAAAACAGAATTATATGTATCGTGTATCATACAATACGGTACAAAAATGATATAGAGATGCGATACTTACCGTTTTTCAAGTGTATTGTGACGTATAGTACAATACTAATAAATATGATCCTATCAAACCATATTGGCCTGGGATCATATGTTAATCGTTCTTAACACCTGCATGGGTATTTTGACTTTCTTTCTCTTATGGCCAACACTTTAATTATGAATTTTCCAAATTCCGTAATTACTCCTATGTTCTAGTTCAGCAGGTGCATACTTCATCAGTCCCATTATTACACTTTGTGTTAATGCCCTGCAGAACTATGACAGAGTGGTTTGGCCTGAGCACACTTGTCAGAAAGATTTTGTTCTTGGTGGGTGGCTAGAGGAAAAACGTGAGATCCAATTGTCTAGCTGGTCATTTGACTAAATGCAAGGTGTCAGTTGCGAACCCTATATCATCATCTTTAAAAAATTAGTCTAGCAATTCCCAAGTACAACATCTACACAGGAAGGACAGAGACATACACTTCATATCTTTTTCTCCTCAGATGATACCCACACACGCACCCCAACCAATTTTCTTTTCCCATTCGGTAGAAGGCCAGAGTCACCATCACACAAACAGTAATTTGGTGCTGAGATTAACCCATCCATTACGAAATGGGGATCTTGAATTTTTTGAGATTGTGGGTTATGAATTGCAGTTTACTGATTTGGGTGACCAATGATAGTTGGCATTTTTGTGTTTCAATTTGTGTTATATGTTTGTGTGTGTGTGTGTGTGCGCACGCAGAGAAAATGAAGAAGGAAAATGTGTGTGTGTGTGTAAGTGAGAGAAACATGACAAAGAAGGGGATGGAGGAGGAGGATGGAAGGGCATAAACATGGTCAGAAATTTGCAAGGATGCAGATGGAGTTGCAGGTATATACCTTTCTCTCTCTCTCTCAACATGTGGGTGTGTGTAGGAGTGTTCATCCTACCCTATGGATAAGAAATATGATATTCCGTCTTCTTATCCAATACTTTGAGGGAGAATTTTTTTTTGGTCTATTCTATTCGATTAAGTGTGGTATTCTTATCCGACTTTCATCCAAATTAATCAAATAAGAAATCGGATGAACACTTATGTAGTTAATTTTTGGATTATTTTAATAATTTAATTAAATAACATACACTAATTTAACAACACAATACAACAATAAAATTAAAACCTAAAACAATTATAACAACAATCAGCAAACAGAGTCATGTGAATTGGCCTCTAAATTGTTCAACAAACCGAAAATAACAAACTATTCAACAACTTCGAGCATCAAATTAAAGTAATAGCCAACACAAAGCACACACACAAGTATGTAATTTAATGAGACATTCAATACAAATTACACAAACAGGTATGTAATTTAAGAAGAAAAATAGGTGACTAAAAATAGATAAACAAGATGGAACAAATTCTTAAAAATATTATGAAAGAAGACCAGTTTACCAAATCAGAAATCATGAATAAATTCTTATACTACCAAGTTTACCTAAGTTACAAACATCAAGTTTAATCTAGAAGGAAAAAAACTAAAAACAAGAAGTTTAATATCTCTGTTTTTCACCCTTCTGATGCTGACCTTTCTCTCTAAATCGTGCCCAAACAGTCAACTGAGATAGTGAGAGAGAGAGAGAGAGAGTACCTAGGAGAGGCTAGAGAGGCGATGAAGACTGAAGAGGTCAGACGATAGGGTTAGGAAATTTGGGTTTATATGTATATTAATTAATTAATTAATTAATAACGGTAGGATAGGGTAAGAATATGAAAATTAATGGATATTCCGCATTTTCTACCTAATTTGATTAGAATATCAAAAAATTTTTCGTATTTTTACCCGATTTAATCGGTTAACCGTTCAATAGGGTCGGATAGACTAAGAAAATTGCAGCTAATTGAAAATTTGAACACTCCTAGGTGTGTGTGTGTGTGTGTGTGTGTGTCTTTATTTCTAAGGTAATTATCATTGACACCCCCTCTAGATAAACATATTTTTAATGAGACTCTTCTCTGACGACATTTATTAGAATGTAATTTTACTAAATTACTCATGATTTATTTTAGAAAAAATTTCATCACACCCTCTCTACATAGGCATACTTTCAATGAGATCTCTTATGTTTTTTGAATTTTTTTACGTATTAAAATTCGGATCGGTTAAAATTCGATTCGAGTTAATTAAAATTTATTTTTACTCATTAAAATTTGGATTGATTAAAAATTATAATTTTTTAAAATTTGATTTGAGTTGATTAAAATTTTTAATCAACTCAAATTGAATTTTAACTGGCCCGAATTTTGATACATAAAAAATATAAATTTTATTACGTAAAAAATGAATTTTAATCAGTTTGTATCGACTTTTAATTGGTTCGAAAAAATATAAATTTTAATTGACTTGAAGTGGCACTAACTACTCAGATTGAACTTGAATTGGATCGAATTTTAATATTAATAAAAATTAAAATTTAATTCCCTTGTCTTGGAATCACTCCACCGTCAAATTTACAGGTATTTTAATAGTTTATACAAATAATTTTTTGTTTGATTCCCTCATGCGGCTTTGATTTTCTTGCAAGGGAAAGCAATTGCAGTATTTTTCAGTGGACTATACCCTGCTATGCTTTGTGAGCCCAATTTTTTGTGCTGATTTTTATTTTTTATTTCACTTGAATATATCATGAGTACCAATTGTATTAGGATTGAATATTGGGTTAATAATATTGTTGGTTCCTAAAGTATGTATTTTTTATTAGTTTAGTGCTCAATGTATAAATTTTATTAATTTAGTTCATAAAACATTCAATTTGTGTTATTTTAATTTTTACATGGACGGACTGTTATGTTTTTTAATAAAAGTGACCACGTGTCATTTTTTTGACGATCTTGTGTGTCTAACATATGATTATTTCGTCAAAAATTTAAATATCCGTCCATGTAGGGAAGAAAATGACACAAATTAAATATTTTAGCGACTAAATTAATTAAATCTACAAAAAAATGTACACTTTAAGAATTAGGAGTGCTATTAACCATTTTTCTCTCTTCGCTCTCTAGTAATGGAACACTATTATAGTGAACATTCGCTTGGTAAATTTTTTTTTTTTTTTTTTTGTAATAAAGGTACTCATGTAATAATGCAATATTTGGGTCAAAAAGGGTCAACGTAATGGAGTGGAAAAGGAAAAAAAAAAGGGATAGCAATTGGATTGAAAAAATAGTGGCCCTCTCACGCATTCATCAATTGTAAGAAAGAAAAAAGCAAAGCAACCACTTTCGGCGTGGTGGGAAGGGGGCTAGGAAAAAATGTACATTCAAAGAAAATTTAGGCAATTTTTTTTTTTTTAAAAATAACAGTTAGTTCATACCAACTATTGAAATTTTATTTGTTACAATAATTATTTTAATTTGAGTATATTGTAGATGGTCAATTTGTGGTATATAATTATAGTATGCACCAAATTGGATTTCAATGGATTACTGGTAAAAAATTATATATTTCATCAACACCTTTAAATAATTTATGAAGGCTTAATGACATTGAATCATTTAATAGCACGTATTAAAAAAGAATTTTTGGTACCGTAGACTGACCCATTTAATGGGTAACACTAAACTCCTGTTGAATTGCTAGTGATGAATTTTAAATCTCGGACTCTTCCTATCTCGTCCTTCATGCCCTGCCCTGCGCTGCCCTTCCCTTATGACACCATGGGGGTCTCTAGAGAGGGTCAATAATTTAATGTCTTTATGCACTTCATGGTCCATCTCAACTCAACTGGGTGCTTCTAATGCAGCTGTTTACGGACATGCAAAAGTCTTTTGACACATAAGTTCATACTTCCAACCAAAACCTTCATTTGTAGGTCTCCATAAAGAAAATACCCAACCTATGTGTTTGTCGAAAAACACTTTCTTTTTTTCATTTACTGATTTACTCTCATAAAATAATGGCCTTTTTTGCACTTTAACCTTGAAAGTTTTTAAAGATTAAAATTTTACATTGTACCATTAATTTATCAAAATTGTTATACTGTGGCCCTTCTGTTAGTTTTCGTTATTTTTTTACTTTTTTGCTTTTCTACCTTGTGATTTTTAAGTTTCTAATGTTACAGATTGGATCATGGATCTAAATTATTGAAACAAGAATTTTAATTGGACTTAATTGTTTGGAAATTTTTTAGGGTTTAAAATTTAATAGATTTAGTTTTTTTGTGGACTAGTCA